ACACAAAAAACCTAATCGATTGGCTTTATTAAGCCAGCATCCATCATCTTCAAGACAACGGTAGCATTCAGAAAGAAAAATTAGCTGTGCTACTCCAGGATGTTATCAACTTCTTAAGCCACAAGTGAAGGTTTCCCACACTTCAGCCACTTCAGCCTTCACTAAACAACACTACACTCAGCTCCACTACTGAATGGAATGAATTGAATTATTTCTTTTAGTTTAGATTTAGAAAGGCTGTGGTCCTGATCCAGAGGTATTTGAAATAATTTGTGCATACCTACAAACTCAGCATTGGGGTAGCCAAGGGGGGGCAGGGGGGCAGCCATCAAAATCAATAGGTTCTGCCCCCCAACAAAGGCCTGCCCTCTCCCACAAAAATCCTGGTTACGCCCATGTCAGCATGTAATTAACACTCTCACATTTGACATTATTGATCCCATGTTGAGATGGGACTGGAGTGTCTGTTTCCTGTTCTTGCCGAAAAGGTCAAGCATAACAACATTAAGAAACACACAAAATTATAAGTGTGCATCCTACAAAAGCTTACCACCTTCAAACATAGTATAAAATATTGAAACATGTATAACATTTAATCAGAAGAAAACCGCAATCATTGCAGAGCTTGGACCTACCAAGCAAGGTTGGTTTTAAGAAACTAAGCTGGAGCATCACCATCTCCTGGGGTCGTAATAATTACAAGGGGTACAATCAATTCCTCCAATGCTTCACTTGTGGTTTGATGTCATGGTTCAAGGCAAAATAAATCATCACTAAGATTACAATCAATGAATACTTGGCTGCAATCCTTACCTAGGAGTAAGCCTCCTTGAAACCAGGGGGAGATGAAAATGTGAGCAGGGTTTGAAATATGAGCAGCAGTGTGAATTATTAAGACAAAAGTTAAAATGGATTTATTGAATAGTATAAGTGAAATATGCAGTATTCAAAGGTAAATATGGAAACCATGGAAGGGGAGGTTGCGGAAGTCAATGGATAAAGCAGGGGTCGGCAAGGCTTACTGGGCATGGGCTGGATCACTCCCACGGAGATCCTCTGTGGGCTGGACCAGCGCAGCGCAGCGCCAAAAATCATATCTGCACATGTCCGTGGGGCTGGAAATTGCTTCTGCGCATGCCCAGATGCCAAAAACCGTGCCTGCACAGAAGCAATTTCCGGCATCTGGTCATGTGCAGAAGTGATTTCCGGAGTTGTGGAA